GAGGGGGTGGGGGGCGGTCCATGTAATTTCACGATTTGCTGGAAAATTATCTAGGTCTTGATTTTTATTCTAAGTTTTAGGGTAATGCTAGCCCAGAATTAAATGAAAACCCAAGCAACGTGCAGGTTTCTTGACTGGTGTTGAAGCAGACATGAATGTAGAAAAAAAGGAAGAAACCTTGCAAGAATGTAAAGCAGTGATAATTTGCACAGAAAAAAGAAGATACCTTGCATGAATTGCAGGCAACCTTACACTCCAAACCATTGAACATTTTAACACCTTCCATGGCCATGCTTAAGGCAGAAAATTCATCTAGGCCAGCATATTTCCGCTTGTTTCTGCAGATAAAGAGTCATATACCATCAATTGATTTCAAAATCCTTTCTAGCCATCATATTCTAGAACTTTTTTTTTTTTTTTGGATATCATATTCTAGAACTACACAAAGGAAAGAGACATTCCTTTCAAAATGTGAATGGCTCTAGCAAACAATTACACATGGCTGAACTAGCCATGGTAGAGATCGGAATACAGATCAGCAGGATGCTTTTATCAAACTTATTTATTGCACTAGAATCTATTTGAAGACAACGAATAAATAGAAGTCTTGGCCTTTCCTTTTCTTAGTTTTCATTCCTTTTTATTATTATTATTATTATTGATAGAGAAGTGCACAGATCAAGTAGTTTCAAGTGTCTAACGAGACAGCTTAAGTCAGAGAATAAAGGAGTGCAATCTAAGCCCGTTAACACATGCTGCTTGCACTTTAATGGAACTTATAAACAGTATTGCACAGCTATTGCTGATAATAAATACCAAAAAAAAAAAAAAAACCTTGTAAGCGTGGATATCTGAAGCATAATGTCAATACCTCATCAGTGTAATGTCATCCGACTCCATTTTTATAGGATAGACAGAGAGATAATCATTATGCAAATATGCAGAAAAAGTTGGATCCATGCAAACTGCCAACACTTCAGATTTCTCAGTTACATTGTCCATCAGCTGGGTGGATAACACAGATGGAGCAGATGACTGTGGAGACCCAAAAAATCATCAATGGTCAAATCAAGTGGGAACTACAGACAAAATAATACACCAATAAAATCACCTCAAATAATACACACACAAATGCAAGGAAAAAGGACTTACAAATTCCAACCGATATATGTTCTCCTCATGAAGGAAAAACCGCATGTTGTCATAATACACCAAATCATTGAAGCTTTCAGATTCCCGGGATATTTCGTATTCATACAATTGAAGAAGCTTACTAGCCATCTCATCAGTTGCAACAGTTTGGAGCTACAAGATAACTACAATTACAAACTTTTCAGGAAAACCTTGTAAAAATACATGGAGAAAGAAATTGCTGTGAGCAAACCTGTTTGACTAATTTATATATTAACTTGTCCAGTGTGAATAACACATATGACTGATTTCCAATAATAGCTCTGCACTCATCCTCAAACTTCGCATTATCAACAGATCCATCTAGTAAACTGTATAGTGCACTCATAAATCTGCAGAAGTCGACAAACACAGAGTGTTAATATGCATTTAATATTCAAAACCAACCAAAAAGAGAATGTTAACGACCTGGCATAAGGAGCAGGAGAACTATCATCCTTGGAAGTTCTCCATTTGATTTCAGCACCAGATGAATTCACTTTTGCTGATAAAATACGGTCATAGAGGATCTACAAATTCAAAGACAACCATAAAAGGCACTTTAAAATCACCAAAAATAGAAAATTACAAAAGAAACACAAATTTCTTTGTATGTGCATTGTGAATCTTGCTATACCTGATGAAGCCTGAAAAGCACATAAAAATCATCATTTCCATAGAAAACCCAGGAATCTCTCCTTTTCTCGTTAATTAAATCTGTTGGAACATGCTTTGCAAGGGGCTTAACAGACATGAGAGAGTGTTCTGGGAATGGTGCATCTCCTCCGTTATACTGTGTATCAACCATCCCCTCAGCTTCACCTTCACTCTCAGCTTTCGCATCATCACGTTCTACTTCATCATCCTCAAGCTCTTCCCGGGAGCACTCATCACCAGCAGACTCGCTGCTTGATGCAGCATCACGAGCCTCCGAAACATTTCCACTATCCTCATCATCAGCATCATGTCCTTCTACGATATCCTGAGTGTGTAAGTCCTCATCATTTCCAGATCCATGCCGCATGCATCCAACACTATTCTTTCCTGTGGCAATAGCCTGCAAGCCAGTATCTCCATAGGCATCGAAATTATCCTCTTCAATATCACCATTAGGGGATAACTCGCCTTCTTCCTTCTCAATTTTGGATGGTCCAGTGGATTCTCCATGACATCTATCATTTTTAGCACCATCCCTTACTCCTTCATTTGCAGGTAAAACTGATTTTACAACAATCTCACCCTATGCCAACAAAGAAATAAAATCAACAATTCACCTCTACTGTTAAAGAAGATAGAACATGAGGCAGAAAAAATTATGCCGAAATGAAGAACCAAGTTGCATAATGTGAAACCATTTACCAATTACTGTATCTACTCTAGGCATGGCATGCAGGGTCTTGAATTTGTCAAAACTGATAAAAGTCATCATACCTCTGAAGAAGGTCCAGCATCAATACCAGCTTTGTGTTGGCGGTCAATAGCATCGCCACCTGGCACAGACAAAGTTGAACCTGAACCTTGAAATTCTAACTAATGTCAGTATCACAACATTATCAGAAGATAACACAGATAACTAGCTCAGAATTAACAGAACACCAAGAAAAGAGAATAGGTATTGTGCAGGTGATCCAATACACACCTGCTATCTCCCCAGCACTGTTCCTTTCACGACCACATTCTGATCCTATCAGAAATGATGTTTTGGTATCTGCTACTCCTTGTATGTTAAATCCAGATGCTCTGTCAGTCACAACTTTATCTTTCTGCTCTCTTTCTGGCCTAAGCACATTAAGTGCTCCATCTTCCTTACCAACATGATCAAGTTCACATAAGCTATCTTCCTTAGCTAATTTATCTGAACTTTTCAAACTGAGCTTGCAAAGGTTTCCTAGTTCTTGCAACATGTTTTCATCTCCATTGCTAGGTGATTTTGCTTGCTTAAAAGTTGATATCGCAGGAACAGCATTAGGACTTCCATCCTTTTCTGCTATGCTTGATGAAGTACAATTCATGAGAGGATGCTTTGGTTTCCCTTCACCTTCACAACTCTCCGAGCCATCAGGATGAGAAACAATACCCAGCATTGGTTCCACGAAGTTAGTCCAAAGTCTTATAACTTTATTTAATTGTTCTTTGGTTGTGCAAACCTCTTTACAGGAATATTGGACAAGTATATACAAGTCTTCATGAATTTTTTTATCTGGGTAATTATATTTCAAATTTGGAACCAAAGGTTGTCTTTTTCCAGTGGCGTAAGCAAGAAGAACACCATCCTCTCTCTGCTGTTTTTCTTTCAGCTCCTTGATCTCAGCCACCAATGCTGTATTTTAAAGATCAATGAGCATAGCGTGGACCCATATAAAAGATGTAAAATGCATGTTACAACATAGTGAAAATTGCTTAAAATTTATCTTTAAAGAAAAGCTCTTCACATGCAGCATCACATAAACTATTGCATAAACTGTCCAAGATTGTATAAGCTCTATTTCAAATATTTCACCAATAAGAAATTGTTGGAAACAAAAAGGGGAAGCCGAAGAAACAATGTCTACTAGTTCATTTGCATTTCCTAATTACATCGTTTCATGCACATATAAATGAGTGGAAAAGCGAAAACTGATACTATTTGTGCACATCCTTTGACAGAGTACACTCTTTGCACGTTACTGGGCTCAAAACTAAAATGCCCTAAGCTGACCCATGCACAGATATAATCAATGGGAGTAATCAGGTAAGCTTTTAGTCATGCTTACTAAAAGCTCCTGAGAAACATTTCTCTCTCATAATTATTCCAGAACAAACACAACCAAGTCAGTCTTTAGTAATCAATTATTCAATTAAGCATTAGGTTTCTTTCAGCAGGTGAAAAAAATTGAGTGAAATGTTTCAAGAGTAATAGTTAGGTGAGAGTGTAAACTGTGTAGAATGCTTTTTATGTATGGTTGAACTTATAGATAAGAAGGAACATGACAATGTACTAACAATTAATTGGGTTAGATACGGGCACAGAAAGAGAGAAGTGGCTATTACAAGATTAAAACTGCGCCTGAACAGAAGGGTGACATTTGAATACATTTTTGCCAAATAGTACTTCCCTAGAGTATTTATCTATTAACATATTAGTTCACTGAACACGAGCGAAAAATTGTCACCCACTTCCCCCTTCTATCAAATGTTCCATTGGAGAATATGCCCAAGGTGCACATAATGCAAAGAATGATTGAAACAGCAGGAAAAAATTACATTTTTTTGGCTGCATAGCTGCATCCTAAAGAGGTTATTTTCTTTCCATAACTCTGTTGTTGATGGTAATAGTGAACATTAACCAAAATCTTGATTTAAGTATACAAACTGGTGAATGATCCAATGGGAAGAGTACCAGTAAACATAACATATACAATTGACACAATTTGAATATTGAAATTCAACTTACATTTTGTGCTCAAGTTCTTTGAATCTTGTTGCTTGAAGTAGAAGCTGCGATGATCTAGTGATTTGTAATGGTTTTTCACATAAATTTCAGCCCAAACCTTGTTAAAATCAGTACGACACCTAGTCCACTCCTCTTGTTTCTGCTTCAGACGAGTTAAAATAACAGGCAATGCAAGACTTGGGTTTTTCCGCAATATTTCCATCACATCAAGACCATGGTCACCATATAACCGCTCTATACACCTTAAGTTTAGAGCTGCAATGCAAAGGCAAAGCAGAGAAGAGAAAACATGCTAGTCAGAAATATAAAAGTCAGATAGGGAATAGTAATAGCAAAAATAAATAGCAGTAACAAAAACAACCACCATAACATTATATGAATAACATTAATTATAATAATAACTGCAAATTATGTTAATTCATAGTCTGCTCCAAATACAAACCGGTAAAGTGATCTTCAATATGGATTGAGGTTTCTACTTTATTTTCGTTTATGCCATTAAACAATTCTTCTGCACGTTTGGTAGTGGAGCTCACAGAATCCAACAACATGTCCAGCTCAAATCTAACAAAAAAAAAAATACAAAACAGAACACAGACTCTGAATTATTTGCTCCCAAAAAGTAACGGAGTAACATGGAAAAACAAGGAATGTGGTACACCACAAAAACATTTTACCTATCGTCTTCACATCTAAACAAACTTTCTTCAAACTGATTTCTACGCATATGTTTAAAAGAGTAGTCCTCACTTCCTGATGTTACAGAGACCCAGTGATCATTCAACACTTGAGCACCAAGCTCCGATCTCTGGCTTGCTGAAGATATTGGATACTGCAAAGAACCAAGCACCAACTTGCACATCACCATAGAACTTGTTAAAATATCAATATCAACAAAGCATTCATTTGAAATTTCATACGTCATCTGGTAGAAACCGATAACTAGGAGTACAACGTTCACAGTTAGAAAGGTCAAGCTCCTGAATGGATTTAGCCATATACTTCTCCCTGCATTTTTCCTTCTCTTTAGCTCCGTCTATTTGCTTCTGCTCCTTTTCCTTGTCCTCTAGTTTCATAGATCTGGATGCTTGTCCATCGTTACCCAGGGATTCTGCAATCAGCAATAAGATCCATCACATTTTACAAAATTTTGGAACATTGAATCCCAAGACATCAGAAAAGATAAATGAAGACTGACAGTTTAATAATAAGGTTAACAGGGGAGACATATATCATTTGACATACTTTTGCTTGTAACACCAGCAAGGAACCCATCTGCAAGGATATTTTATTAAGTGGCATTAAAAAGAATCAAATGGAAGCAAGATCAATGTTTCAGAGTGAAATCTAAAGAGTAAACTGCAACAGTCAAAATGCTTTTTGTTAATTACCAATATGCCCATCACACTCCAGGTGATCAATGAACTCTTCCATAAGATCAGGATACTTTCCAAGTAAATCAGTCACCTGAAAAACAGAGAGGTTTTAACTACATGTGCAACAAGAGAAATCCAAATGAGGAAATTTCTTCCTTATTAAACTAAAATTTACATGATAGAACCCTAATCATGCCAAAATTGATATTAAAGATCAACGTCATTTGTCAATTCAAATCCAACTTAAGCATGGGTATTCAAGATACATTAGGAAGCCAAATCAAAAGTCCCCAGCCCATCAGTTTTCTGGTGCACTAGGTGGCCTTAAGTGGCCCGAGGACAAGCCAAAGCTTTACCAAACATTGTCAAATCATCAGAACCCCGAACACATTAACTTTCATGATGTAAAATGTAAATTGTAACAGGATCCACTTGCCCATGTGGCTAGAAAACATCACCTGAAACCATTCTAGATTTAGAGATGCAAAGAGGCATTTACACAGGTCATTTCAATTGGTTAGTACTTGGCTAATAACCTTAACCTATGACACCATTCATTGCGCACTTGGATATTTGATACCATAAAATGGGTTTTTAGGATTTATAGCTTGAACTTAAGATTTGTGAAATGGATCAATACTATAATTTCCATTATCAAGCCTCAAAAGAATAATCTGGGCAAGGGGAGAAAATCCAACCAATCATATTGTAGAAACTTTTCACCTGACAAGGTCGCTTTTGGCATTACAATTCATAATATCTTAATTTAAGTACCAAGGTAAAAACATAAAGGGAGATACATGCACATGCTTGGCCTCTGCAGAGATTAAAAAAACTACTTAAACGACTTCAAAAGACCTTGAGAGCTGTTTGGTCTACCACATACCAAATTTTTTAACTCGCTCTTTTCAATAATCCCTTGGTTATAAATGTTAAGGCACTTCAAGAATGCTTGATAATCATCTCCATTTCCCAACTTCTCCTTGACTTTCTCAAAGAAAACAAATTCTTGGTTGTAGATGCCTGGCATAAGAATTGAGATACCCAAAAATTAAAAAACTAATTAGTTGGAAAATGAGAAACTTTCTATAACAAAAACTAATAAGTTGGAAAATGAGAAACTTTCTATAACAGGAGATGATGTGGAAAGGCAAAAGAAAAAAAAATCTGATATTTTTAAAAATCCAAAAGACTAGCACCCCTAGACGAATAATGTTGATCATATAACAAAGTCATGCAAAAACCAAGTCTTCCTTTTCTTCATAGAGAAAATGAAGAGTTCTTAGGGAGAACCTGAGTCCCCTCTAGCATTCAATAAATATTCACACATAGAACTGGCTATGTCAGTGAATAAGGACAGCAAACCATAACTTGAGAATGCCACTGCTCTAAACTAAATCACTCATCACATAGTACATAAATATGACTTCGAGGGTTCAGCCCCCTCAAGCCAAATACATAGGACGGTGCAAGTGCTAGCAATAGGTGAAATGTGTGTTGTTCATCAATATTTCATTGTTCCCCAAAGGGGAGAATTAAAACTGATTCAGCACAAAAAAAGAGAGACAAACAAAAAGAGATAAATAAAGAAAGAAAAAAGTAGAGGAAAGAAACTCCATGTAGTACATGCAACATATAAAAATATGTGCAAGACATTTATTTTGGTAATGGCATCAGTGACTCACTCTTTATCTTGTCTTTGTCATCATAACCAGCAAAGTTAGAATTTCCAAAACCTTCCACCTTCTGGGAAGGGTTCCTTTTCTCAAGAAAAGGTTGCAAGCTGAAGTCTCTACTGCTATCATGCTCAGGCTCCCTATCATCCTGATCACGAATTCTCCTATCCCAATTCTCCTTGTCAGCACGCTTTCTCTGCTCCTTGAGCACTTTCACCATTCCTTTGTCATCTTCCATCTCTGGTCGATCAACACTAAGGTCACACTCAGCATGGGAAGAGGAAACTTTGTCACGCCGATGCTGCTAAAGAAAGAGATCCATTTGCAAAATATTCAGAATCCATTTAAAAACAGATGATCAACTGTGCTACATTGCAGGTCGAATCATTTTTCTAACATCAGAAAAAAAAAAAAAAAAAGAATAGGCGCTGCTAATATTTTTTCTAGTAGAAAAAAAAAATAGCTGTTGGGATTGATCCAGTGCAACTCGGTCGACTTGACAGGTCCAAAAATAACTCAGATGACCAGTAAAAACATAGATTGACTCAAAATAAATATTCAAGATGATATTTTTTTTAAATATCTAAACGACAACATATTAGAGCAAGTTAGATCAACCAGGTTAACCTGTCAATCCACATGCAAGATTATAAGACCATGATAATCCTATAGAAAATAAATTAAAACAGATTATAAAGTTCAATTTCCAATAAACTCAATGTTGAAGGATGAAATTAAAAAAAAAAAAAAAAAACAACTAAAAAGGTGGGGAAATGACCCAAGTTAACCATGATTAACTTATCAAACCCATAACTCAGCCGATGAGACCGAGATAACCCAATACAAAGCAAATTAAAACAAATTATAAAGCATGATCCCCTAATAAACTTAATATTGAAGAATGTAATTGAAATTGAAAAATCAATTAAAAATGACATAAAAACGACTCGAGTAAACTCAGATTAACCTTTTAAACCTGTAACTTGAGTAATGAGATAGGAATAACCCTATAGAAAACAAACAAAAACAAATCATGAAGCCCAATATGAAATTGAGAAAAAATGTAAATTAGGAAAAGGAGGGGAAAAAATCGAGTTAACTGGTGAAACCCATGATCTAGGTCATAAGACTGGGATAATCTAACCAAAAAAAATTAATAGAAATTATAAAGTACAATCCCTGCTCTTTTAGTTTTTTGTTAATAAGGTTAAGGTTAGGCTGCTAATGCTGCCCACTCAAAATAAATGATACATTATGATCACAAAAGGTTTATTAACCTGCTATTCCCTATAAAAAGGAAAAACAAAGAATATGTGCAAATTACCTTGTCTATTTGTGCTTGTGGTGCGGAGGGTGCCGTAGAATTCCGTTCATTGTAATGCTGGTTAGAATTCCGAGCATATGGAACAGTATGTGTCATGGGTGTTGCTGAAGTATCTGGCAAAAATCTAGCAAACTCATCAAGCAAATCATGATGGTCCTCAAAAAGAGCTGAAACCTGAAAGATGATCAGAAGAGAACAGCTAAGAGTACTTGAAATATTTGTACAGCAAAAGTTTCCGTGTGAATAGAAAGTAGTGCTCAAAACAAAGAAACAATCAACAACATAATGCTCTACCTCACTGTAGACCTCATTTATGTCCTTGTGTTCCTTCCGGTACATATTCAAAATGTCTAGAAATGATTTATAAACACGTTCATCATTTTGGAAACGTTTCTGTATGAAAAAAATCTGTCAGTCAAAGTTATGGAAAACAAAAGGCAACCATTTCCAGATACAACAAGAATAGCAATATATATCACCTTTATTTTGTTTACAAAATTGATAGCTTGGTTAAATTCAACAGTTTTCTTTGGCGGAGCTGCCTCCTCCTCATCTAGGGTTATTTCATATCCCTTGGGCAAGAAGGTGTTGAATCCAAAGATCAAGTTATTATGACCTTTGAATAACTCCTTTACTCTTACAATGACACCGGAAGTGTCAGTTCTACAAAAAGACAGTACATTAAATAATAATAATAATAATAATAATGTCGAATACATAATTAATGACGATCATGATAAATAATTTACCTTTGAGCCTTGAAATCTTTCATGACTTCAAGGAACATGTCATATTTTTCCTTCTGGTCTTGAAACATGTCCTTTACTTCCTTTAGATATTGTAAGGCGTCGGTGGTAGTTAGTTTCTGCGAATTACCACTACCTCCGCCGCCACCACCGCCAGGGATTTGTGTTTGCCCGTAGCTTTAACAATCAAAATAATTCCAATCAAGAAACAGCAGGCTAAAAATGAAATTAACACAATAAACAAACGAATTCCAAAGAAAGAGAAAGGGAAGTTACGATTCTCCACGTGTCGAAGTTAAGGGCCGTTTAAATTGAGAGGCAGGGGCAGGCGCAGGGGCTGAGAAAATATCATCTCTCATTCTCTTCATCTCTGCGAAACAAAGAAAATAAGGGGAAAACCTTGTTTTGGTTTTCAGGACATGGACGGAATTAAACGAAAGAAAAACTCACTTCGGTTTGCTCTTTATGTGTTTACAGTGAGTCAGATCTCATCGAAGCAGAATAACGAAACACAAAGCAGTCGTAACTAAAAGGCGTGTTGTATGTACAATTCTGTGAGGCAAGGAATACTCCTCAAAATGCATAGGAATATTATTTAAAACTTAAATTAAAAAACCAAAACAAATCAAAATTTAAAAAAAAAAAAAAGTGCAAGGCGCTATTGGGCCTCAAATATCAGGCCCAAACAACTAGTTTTGCTTTACAAAAATAAAATTAATATACCATATGTTATCCGTCTAATTTTTTTAATAGATTTGATGATAGGTTATATGCTTGGGTAGTTGTGTGTCGTCTACTGTTCACTTTTCGATAATTGAAAATGGTAGTCTGGATTTTGTAATTCTAAAAATCTAATTATTACCTTATTTAAAATATTTTAAAATCATCCTACAAATATTAAAATATACATTTTCAACTCTAAAATATTATTTAATCATTCTTAAAAAAATAAAACCTTATAAAAAAAATATGTGAGTTTCAATTTAATTTTTTCAACGTAATTAAAGGGCAACAACATTTTCATTGAACTCCACAGAGATAAATTCATTAATATTAAAATTGATTTTTTATAATAAAATTATAATTAATTAATATTTTCTTGCTCCTTTTTTTCTGATGATTTTCTCTTGTATCTTTAAACAACATGTGGGGATTGAAATGTAATAAAATTAAAATTTAAGATTAAATATAAAAGCAAAAAAAAAACAAAGATAAAATATGTTAGAATTGAAATTTAAAGCATCAAATTGAAGTTTTTATACTTTAAATGAAAAAAACTCTTTTTTATATCAATTTTGATCATTCATCTTTTAATTTTTTCTAACAATAACCAAAAATTATATTTTATAAAATCAATTTTAAATTTAACATTGGAACAAATCAAAAAAGATCCTATAGAGAATCAGGGAAATAAACTTACAAATAAATACAATTTAATTAATAACCAAAGGGCCAAAAAAAAATTTCAAGGAACTAAAAGGGGAAAAAAAGAAGCAATGCTTCAATTTGGATTTGCATGGACTTTGTGTGTTCCATAATTTCTAGATGTATAAATAAACATGGGCTTTATTGCTAACGAGACTCGTAACAGTTTGGAAAATTCAATCAAAATAGTTATTATAGTTGTAATTTGAAAACAATTGTTATGTAAAAAATATTTTTAGTTGAAATTAAGTTAGAAAAATATATATTTGATTAAAATTGTGATTAAAATTAAGGTTAAATAAAAAGTAATTTAATGTGTTTGGTTAAAAATGCTTTTGAAATTAAGGTTATAAAATAATATATATTAATATTGATGGGTTTTAATTGAAATATTATAGATTTAACTATTGTTATTACATCATGAAATAAATAATACTTTATATAAAATATTTTTTATTATTTCATTCAACTATCTATAATTTCATCATGTCTAAATATATTTGATAATTTTCTTGGTTTCTTAAACATGCAACAACATAACTTGTAAAATATTATCAAGAATAAAATTAGAATTGCGATTAAATTCTGCAAATACTACATCATCAAGTGAATAAAACATAATTAAAAAATAAAAAATATATTTTTTATTTTACTAGGTCAGACCCGGTTTAATATATATTTTACGCGTTGGACCGGACCCAGTCCGGCTAAAATAATAAAGCTATGCTCCACTGTAGCAGCCTTCATTGTTCAATGAACAATTGAGGCATGCTTCACTGTTCACTAAACAATGTAGTATGGTCTCCTTTCTATCCGCGTAAAAAAATATCAATTTATTGTTTTTTTCCTGTATTTCATATGTAATTTATTATGGGATTCATTTATAGTAATTTTTTTTTTAAATCAACATTTACAAGCTATGGTTTATTTTCAAATCAATTACGTTGCGGTACCAAACAAGCACTTAGCCAAGGGTCTCGCTACTATTTATGCACATTTTTTTCAACCATGTTGTGCATTACTGGCTTCAAATAAAATAATGTGTCAATTTTATAAATATGTTTTTATAAATTAATAAAATAAATTATAGAATATATCAACCAATTAATTATACTAGAATGGAAAGCTAGTCTTTCTCTTAAGAATGGAAAAAAGAAGAAGAGATTTACACGAAAACATTCAACTCCTATTATCCTTTTTAATTTTATATCTTTTTTATTTATTTTATTTTAAAAATTATTTTTTTTCACGAGAAAAAAAATAACGTTCATTTTATTACTATAACAGAAACCCAAAAACCCAGGTTTGTGTGCATGGGAAAAAGATTTTAAGGTTCGTTCAGTTATTGTTGTCTTTTTTTTACATTGATAACATGTTGTTTACTGTGAAAATGATTTTTTATTTTTTTTTAATTTTATTTTTTTTATTATCTCTAGTGATCTAAAAAAATTGAATTGAGGTTTGAGTTTTGGAATCCCAAAAGCTAATTTTTTAACTTGTTTTTATATGAAATCACTATATAAACCTTTACAAATCAATTTTCAAATCTAAAATAGCCTTTAATCTCTCTATAAAATATAAGATAAATGAATAAAAAATTAACAATCTGAGCCTATTTTCTCTAATATTTTTTTAAAAATTAACCTTTAAGGGTTGAAAAAAAATTTTTTGGAATGAATTATGAAATTCTAAAATAATAATAACCATGTGATAGATAAATTAAAATTTTATGGAGGAAAATTAAATTTTTCATGTTAATATCGAGGTCTATTTATTTTAGTGTTTTTTAAAAAATAATTTTTTTATTTTAAATAATTTTTTTGTATGTTTTTAAATCATTTCAATGTGTTAATATTAAAAATAATATTAAAAAAATAAAAATATATATATTAATATATTTCTGAATAAAATATATATTTAAAAAATATGTCTATCTAGTTACACAACTGTTTAACCATTGATGTTAAAACTCAAGAAAAATAAATCGGTAACAGAATGGCATTGTTTTCCAAGAGAGAAATTGCAGTGCCAATGGCAATCTGACCAAGAGAGGCTAGAATCTAGATAGTCATCTTAGCAAGCATATTTAACACATCAAATAAAACACCCAAATATATATATATATAAAGAGAAAAGCTACAGTTGGACGAGGATAATCAAAATTTAATTTACATGTTTTTTCTATGTACCCATTACCTAATAAAACACCCAAATAAAAAAAAAAAAAAAACCCTGGACTACCTACTTAAATCAATGGACATGATCTAACCCTAAGGCCTAGCAAATGCGGAAGCAAAGTAGCCCTAACAGTGACACCACCACATCAGGAATAATCAACTGTTTAGCAACACTTTCTGGGGCCCCTGATGACCCATCATTGGTCTTAGACTCATCCATAGTTGAGTCGACATCCATCAAATATTCCTCCATCTTCGTCACCACAGGGAAGGAAGTACTGCCAAGAGGAATTTATTAATTCTTCATCAGCTACAGGAACGCCAGCCATGCTAAGAATCTATCGCTTTTTTACACCTGTTTATTTACAATAAAATAGATTTTATTTAAAGTGAAATTTTAAAAAGTAAATTCTAAAAAAATAAATTATTTTATGATATTTGATACTGTAATAAAAAATAAATTAAAAAAATATTTTTTAATATTTGGTTATATCATAAAAAATAAACTGAAAAATAACTTATTAATTTTTTTTATTTTTCTCAAGTTTATTAAAATAATAAGGATTAAATCTTATAAATAAAAAGATTGAATGAGAATCAAATTGAAAAAAATATAATTCATAAATTATCTCAAGTAAAATAAATAATAATTAAAATAATAAATATCAAATCTAAAAAATAAAAAAAAAGATGAAGAAATTAAAGTAATAAAAGTTAACATTTCATAAATTATTTCAAATAAAATAAGTAACAATCAAAAGAATGAGGATCAAATTTGATAAATAAAAAATTTTAATAAAAAAATAATAAGGAAAAAATAAATAACAATTATAAAAATGAGTGCCAAAGTTAATATAAAAATTAAATTTTAAGAGATAAAATTAAAAATTAAAATATTCAAAATAAAATATATATAGCAGTTAAAAGTTTGAGGATCAAATTTGATATAATCAACAAATAATATGATATTTCTAAATTTTTCACAACTTTTAAAAAGTGTTTTCCGCCTCAATTTTTTAGGAAAACACTTTCATGGAAACCAATCCAAATTTTCCTTTGACTGGAAAGTGTTTTCCATTGACCAACTTTTCTAATGACAAATAAACACAAAAAAATTTGGAAAGTGGTTTCCCGAAAATCAATTTTCGGAAAACAAACATGGCCATGGATAAAAAAAGTTTTAGACTGATCAATTTAGAAACTTGAGTTGCATGAAAATATTGAAAAGAAAAACAAACCTAAGAGCGACCAGTTGATGAATCTATTGGTAATAAATATATTGATAGATTTATAGATAAATAAAATACATCTAAAAAAATTTACCCCTTTTGTATGTTAGAATATCTATTAGTAAATATAACATATCACTATCAAAATAACATCTATAATGTTATCGGTGCATTAACAATAGCAATGATATTTACAATACTTTTTTTCAAACTCTCTAGAATATACTCACGATTTAGTTTTGTCGATAACCTTATCAATAATTGTGGTATTTACATCAATTCTTTTTCAACTCTTTAGAATATACCAATGGAGTTGTGTCATCAATAACCCCGTCAGTAATACTTTAAAAATATTTTTTAAGAAAATATATTGAACAGAAGTAGAAAATAATTAAAATCAAATAAATTAGCAAATAAATTCAAATATTTATTATAAATTTAAACAATTATATTCAAATACAATGAATATAAAATATAGAAGGCATTGAAGGAGGAGGATGGGGCTGAACGTTACCAAGACAATGGGAGAGTGCACATAAATCATATATATGTGATCTCATCTCCATTACCAATAGGTGGAGTTTTTTATAATCAGCAGTGAATCTTTCATATTTTATTATTAAGATGGATCGTCTAATATCCTATACTCGTTGGTCTAACATTGCCGCAAACTCTAAAGTTTGAACACTCAGAATTGATTGTGAGCATCCACCATTAAAGCATTACAATTCATCCATAAATT